TTCAACTCCTTTGATCTTCTACGGGTAATCTTGCCTACCTTCCAATGCCTTCTTTCTTTGCTCAATAAATTAATAGAGAAATTAATGTTGTGCATTTTTTTTGGCAGGGAGTGAAGGAAAGACTAGATTTTTTGAGTGTTTTGGTAGGGTGATATGGTTTCAGTGAATGCTACATCAGGGCATACATGCCTATCTCTGAAGCTTACATCAAATGGGGTATTTCAGGGTGATAATCCCCTTGATTTTGCACTCCCCTTGGCCATTTTTCAGATATGTTAGGTGATTGTGGTAACAAGGGGTCTTGCTTTTCTGTTAAGACCATTGAGACAGCCAAGGGTGATTGCAGGGATTGTTGTATGTGCCTTTCTCCTCCTCTTTTTATAATTGATTGAAATCTGATCTGCTTTAATGTGCTTTTGCTTTTGTTTATCTGCTCTTTTGTTTGCGTAAGTGAAGAGTTTTTTATTCTTTTTTATTTTTTATTTTTACCTTGGATGTTAGTTTCCTTTTTTAGAATTAATAAAATTGGGGAGAAAGATGATGCTTTACTGAAAATGACTGATTCTCAATGATTTTATCTTTTCCATACGAAAGTATCAGGTTGCTCTTTATTTTTGGCTCTGCTGTTTGATTCTCTCAGGTGGGTTTAAATAAATGGTCAAGTAGAGAACTTTTTTCTTTCTTTTATTACTATGGAGTCAAAATACAACAACTGGATATGTTAATATGGTGTCACAAGATGATGAAGTTTGTGGATCTACATCCACCTTTAGATTTTGTTTTTGGCATTTTGATTATTCTGATTTTGCTTTTGGATGTGTTTGGATCAAGCCTAAGTTTGATAATTGCGGTTCTGCATTTTCTTTTGCAGAACAAATTCATCAGGTTGCTTGAAAAACATATATATTTTAATCTTATGTTAGGCAGGTGAAAATGTTCATAGATAGAAGTTTTCAAGAGGCATAATGCAATCATAGCGTATAGTTCATCAATCTAGCAACTAAAAATATTGTTGCAAGTAGAAGCTTTGCTAAGGTTAACCTTGAGAACTTTAACTTGTGTCAGGGAGGAGTTTTACTTGGGCCATCTGCATTGGGTCGAAGGAAGGGATATTTGCAGGCATTATTCCCAACCAATAGTCTTACAGTGTTAGATAATCTTGCAAGCAGTGGCCTCACTTTCTTTTTGTTCCTTGCTGGACTAGAGCTAGATCCTAAATCTCTTGGTCGAACTGGAAAAAAGGCCCTAGCTATTGCCATGCTAGGAATTGGCCTACCTTTTGCAATGGGAATTGGCACATCATTCATTCTCTGTTTAACCACATCTAAAGATGTAAATGGTACGGCCTTTCTTGTATTCATGGGGGTAGCACTTTCTATAACAGCTTTCCCTGTCTTGGCATGTATTCTGGCGGAGCTGAAGCTCTTAACAACCAATGTTGGAAGAATGGCCATGTCAGCTGCAGCAGTAAATGATATGGCTGCATGGATTCTCCTTGCTCTTGCTATTTCCCTGTCAGGATCTAATACTTCTCGCATTATTTCATTTTGGGTTTTCTTGTCTGGGTGTATTTTTGTCATCTGTTCAATTCTAATTGTATCCCCAATCTTCAAATGGATGACTAAGTGGTGCCATGAAGGTGAGCCAGTTGAAGAGATGTATGTATGTGCAATCTTAGCTGCTGTCTGGCTGCTGAGTTTGTAACTGATGCTATTGGAATTCATGCCATCTTTGGTGCTTTTGTTATTGGAATTCTGGTCCGAAAGGAAGGGCCATTTGCTGGCACTCTTGTGGAAAAAATTGAAGATTTTGTATCTGGACTATTCCTTCTGTTGTACTTTGTCTCAAGTGGACTAAAGATCAATTTAGCAACAATTCAAGGGCTCCAATCTTGGGGCCTTCTGGTTTTGGTAATTTTCACAGCATGTTTTGGGAAGATTTTTGGCGCATTTGTGGTGTCCCTTTTATGCAAAATACCTCCGTGTGAATCTCTTGTCATGGAATTCCTAATGAACGCCAAAGGCCTGGTGGAACTCATCGTTCTCGATATTGGTAAGGATAGAAAGGTAATTAACTATTCTTGTTATAGAAGTTAGTTCTGGCTAAAGCTGTGCACTTTTTATGGAATGACCCAATGCAAAGGTCACTTGCTTGTTCGCACAGGTTTTGAATGGTGAAACGTTTTCCATTATGATTTTAATGGCTCTTTTTACAACCTTCATCACCACACCTCTTGTTATGACTGTATAGAAGCCAGCAAGAAGAGCAAAAATGGCTGACTACAAGTATAGGACTGTTGAAAGTAGAAGTTCAAATACTGAACTTCGGATTTTGGCATGTTTCCATGGTTGGAGAAACATTTCGTCGATAATAAATCTTCTTGAAGTGTCACGAGGGGTTCAGAAATCTGATGGGCTTTCTGTATATGCAATGCACCTCGCTGAGCTTTCTGAGAGGTCATCAGCCATATTAATGGTCCACAAGGCAAGGAAAAATGGTTTACCCTATAGGAACCGAGGCCAGAAGTTGGGTTCCAATCTTGTTGTTGTGGCATTTGATGTGCTCCAGCAATTGAGAAGTGTTTCTGTACGGCCAATGACTGAATCTCTTCAATGTCTGACATGCATGAGGACATTTTCACCACTGCTGAAAGGAAGAGAGCTGCAATCATCATTCTTCCACTCCATAAACACCAGATGTTAGATGTCTCTCTCGAGATGACTTGAACTGACTTCCAATTGGTTAACAGAAGAGTTCTTGAGCAAGCACCATGCTCAGTTGGAATTCTAGGTGACCGTGGGCTTGGTGGAACCACTCAGGTATCTGCAAGTAATGTTTCTTATGTTATTACAGTCCTCTTCTTTGGGGGCTGTGATGATCGTGAAGCCCTTGCTTATGGAGCTCGAATGGCTGAACACCCTGGTATCAGTTTAAACTTTAAAGGTTATTCACTTCCTAGTGAAAGCTGAAGCTTTAGGGGAGATAGTCAGAGTTCACATGGATGATAGTTCTAATATTAAATTGGGATCATTGGATGAAGAATTCCTCTCAGAGTTTAAGCTGAAAATATCGAAGGATGAGACTGTGAACTTTGAAGTGAAATTCGTTGGAAATGCTGCAGAAACCATCAATGCAGTCCGTGAGGTACGCCACTGCAATCTTTTCCTGGTGGGTCGATTACCTGAAGGTGAAGTAGCTTTAGCTTTAAGCAGTAGTAGTGACTGTCCAGAACTGGGGCCTGTAGGAGGGCTGTTGGCCTCTTCTGATTTCTCAACAACAGCATCTGTTTTGGTGGTTCAGCAGTACAATATTCAAGTATCTTTGGATTTAGCTTTGCAGAATGGTAATGAGTTTCTGGGAAAAGATTCAGAATCTAACTGATGGGTTTTTAGATTGAATCTTGGTGATGTTTAGGTAGCACATAATGAATTGTAATAATCACTGTTTATCATATGACATCAAATTATGTTATACTCGAGTTTGGGATTGGTCATTAATCCATTAAACTAGTTGAAGACCTAAGGTTTGTATCCCCTATTATCTAAACACGGGTTCGAATGGTTAGGCTAGATCTTTTTAGCCTCATGGTTATGTATTATGAGTTGATACTTTCCAGAACTTTTCGGTGGTTCTAGTACCCTACGCTGGCTGGGAGCTGATTGAAGATTAGTCTTTTGAGGAAAGGATGAAACCCTCTGGGCTAGAAGATCAGTTCATTAGCATATTTTATGAAGTAGGATGGGAAGGGCAAATCCTGCAGACAAGAATCGCAAGCTACATGGGGAGAAAGTCCCCCATTTCTTCGTAAAAAGTAGAAATGATAGTTTTATGTTTGGTAATCTCTCATGTTTGCTAATTTTTATGTATAGCACATATATGTTATTATATAAATCTTTTTGTTTATAAGATTAATAAAGATTGAGAGATTTTCCTGTAAATGCTATGTGCCTTTTAATATATAGCCAATTATAGAAACCTTCCTGCATGAGCAAAACACATAATTGTAAGTAAATACAGTAAAAAAGATGAGGTAAAACTTGGTCTGGTAGGGACAATACTGTCACGTTTGGCTGAATTCTGGGGTGAAAAACTTTAACTCTTCGACAACCACCATCATTAAATGTCATTCATACGTTGGAAAAATACAGCAGATTAATTAAATGTTGAAATGAAAAGATTTTGAAATTTGACTTGCCAAATCTCCTTGTGACGAAGGTGGGTTGGAAAATGTCATTTTCGAAGCCACCGTGTATCGTTAGTGAGTTTGACACTGATCACAGTCAGCAGAATCAAACCATTGGTGTAAAAGGAAAAGCCTAGTTTGTGCAACTACAAGAATATAGTTCTTTAAAAGTAGCCATGAAGGCTAATTTAAAAATATAATTGTTTCTTCGAAGCACGAAGCAACACTTCAGTAATTAATAATATTTAATTATTGCAAGCCCAAATAGGTAAAATGCTCATCAGTATTGTCTAACCAAATTCCTGAAGTTTTAGTTCCTTTTCTATACTTTTAGGACCACGAGTTCTTTAGTGCTTTAATGAATGAATATTTAAGTTTCCATGGCTGCGCCGCTGACTCCAACCTCCCATTTTAGACAGGCAGAAGCAGCTAACTACATGAGTTGGAATCCAATTAGCTCAAGTGCAACCTAACCAGAACTTGGTGGGATAAGCTTCAAGACGGCAATTTCTTCACCTATTCTTTTTCCTACATATTAAGCCAGAAACACTTGGACTAACATAAGATCGTTATCTGGCTGTCCATTTTGAAACTTTCATTAAGTAGGTCCAATCATATCAAATTTTCCACGGAGGACATCACCAGATTAAACGAATATGTCACCGTTAAATCGACAAAATCTATTAATACGACATTATAACATGACATTTCGGCTAGTGGATTTGCTTATTAACTTAACATGAACAACAAGCCATCAAATTTGATTTGACTCTCATTTTTTGACCCTATAGGATCTAAGTTTCCCAATATAAGGACAGGAAGTATAGAGGGAACCAACAAGTTCTAGTAGTTCTGCCCTTGTATGCCCTGCTTCTTTCCTCTTGAGATCATATCTAGAAAGAAAATGAGAACTTCGGGCTTCGTTGCTATTTTCTTCCTGATATTCCTTTCTGTATCCTCAGCCTATCCAGGCTGGAAGAAGCAGTACAATCCATGCAAGCAATTAGTCCTCTACTTCCATGACATTATTTACAATGGCCAGAATGCTGCTAATGCTACAGCAGCAATTGTGGCAGCCCCAGAAGGTGCTAACCTAACCATCTTAGCAGGGCAGTTCCATTTTGGAAACATTGCAGTTTTTGATGATCCCATCACTCTTGATAACAATCTTCATTCTCCTCCAGTTGGTAGGGCTCAAGGCATGTATATCTATGACACCAAAAACACCTTCACTGCTTGGTTAGGCTTTACATTTGTTCTTAATAGCACAAAACACCAAGGGACGATAAATTTCATTGGAGCCGACCCAATTATGGTGAAGAGTAGAGATATATCAGTAGTTGGAGGCACTGGAGATTTTTTCATGCACAGAGGAATTGCAACGGTAATGACTGATTCATTTGAAGGTGATGTGTATTTCAGGCTCCGCGTCGATGTCAAATTCTATGAATGCTGGTAAAATAGAAGATAGAATATTGAGTGTTGGTGAGTTAATATTAATGTACTGATTTGTTTTGTATTCTCTGCTAGAAGTGTCCTATCAGAAGAGCAGCAACCTAAGCTTGCTGCTTGCATGACCAAATAAAAAAGTTTGAAATATAATCCCTTTTCTGTTAGTAATACTTGGTTTTTTCTTACACTTTCTAGATGAATTTCGCCATTGTTTTGTATTCTACTAATCTACAGTGGTGCAAAAGAAAAGAAAGCTTGATTGGAAATAATTGCTTAAATGTTCCCATGGCTGTGCGGCCGCACTTCGATTGGCGCAAGGCCAAACCATTCCGCAATCTCCCATTTTAGATATAAATTGTGAATTGTGATCTGAATTTAACCTACCATTTTAGATATAAATTGCGATCCGAAGTTAACCTCCCATTTTAGATATAGATAGTGATCAAAATTCTGTAGTTCTCTTATACCATAACAGTACAAAAAAAAAAAAAAACAGGAGTTGTTGAGGTATACCATCATGCTATGCTGTAAGACAATCACTAAAAATTGGAAATTACTATATAAGCTGAAGATAATGGTTCAATCTAGCACAAAATTGAGGACAATCTCAGGTGTGACCATGAGAGATCTTGTATTGAAATTATTCTTCATTCTCTTCCTCCTCTTTACTCTTTCAGTTTCTTCAGAAAAAAAATCTTTTAAACCAAAACAACCATGCAAAGATCTTGTGCTCTATTACCATGACACTCTTTTTAATGGCACAGATGTGGCTAATGCAACATCTGCTGCTGCTACCGATCCTACAAAGCTTGGCAACTTCAAATTTGGTATGCTAGTCGTTTTTGATGATCCAATGACCAAAGACAATCATCTTCTTTCACGTCCTGTTGCAAGAGCACAAGGGTTCTACTTCTATGACAAGAAGTCCACTTACACTGCATGGTTTGCCTTCACTTTAATCTTTAACTCCACTAAACATAAAGGTACTCTAAATATAATGGGTGCGGACTTGATGACGGAGGAGACAAGGGATTTTTCTGTGGTTGGAGGTACAGGGGACTTTTTCATGGCCAGAGGGATTGCTACAATTCATACGGACACTTTCCAGGGAGACTATTATTTTCGTCTGAAGATGGATATTAAGTTGTACGAATGCTATTAGGCATTACAAGTCTTGTCTTTTCTTGTGGTCATATGTGCAAGATTTGATGAATAAAACGAGTTCTTGTGTGTAATCTTGTAGTAGACCTGGGAGTCTCAATATCCAAATAAGTTTCTGTGCACCCAGTCCTACCAGTTACGTATCATTTTGGATTTTTTTTCCTTGCTTGTGAACTAGTAAGAAAATAGGGAAGGTACAAGTTGTGTTTATGCATGTTTCCCATCTTGATTAGTGGAAAATGCTGACAGATCATTTATGTCTCGTTTCCATATATGAACCTTTTTCTCGTCATGAATACAAGAGCAAGCAACTTTGTATTTACTCACAAAAATAATTCCTTTGAACAAAAAATAAAAAAAAATGATCCTCCTACCCCTTTTCCTTTAGACTTTTGTGACTTGAGTCCTTGTTGCTGTTTGTTTTTGTAATTAAAAAATATTTTTATAAAAAAATATTTTTATAAAAAATTAATTTTTTAAAAAATTATTTTTAGATTTTTTTAATTCGTTGATGTTAAGAACAAATTTTACAGAATAAAAAATATATTATTTTAATATATTTTTAAATAAAAAACTTTAAATAAACAGGATACACACTATCAAGCACCGCACTATCAGTTTCTCAGTGGGAAAGGATTATTTGCTATTTATGTATGAAAATTTTTATAGGTTATTTTTTATTAGTTATTTTTTAACTTATTTAAAATAAACTAGTTATAAGTAGAAGAAAGAATAAAATTTATGATCCACAAAAAATAATAAAAATATTCTTAAAATAAACTAGTTATAAGTAGAAGAAAGAATAAAATTTATGATCCACAAAAAATAATAAAAATATTCTTATGTAAAATTTCTCTATTTTATGTATAACTATTTTTTATTTTTAAATAAGATAGGAAGTAACTAATAAAATATCATTGATTATTCTTGAATACTATAAAATTTCACATTATATTTTATCTTTTTAGCCTGTGCTGTGTTATGGCATTATGTTAAGGGTTGGTTCAATTTTTTCAACCTAAAAAAATAAAAAGATATTTGGAAGTTAATAATTTTTTACATGATGTCCAAAAAACTTTTAAAATACTTAAGTAGTAGCGTATTAGATACTATTTTTTAAAAAAATAACAACAATAGTTAGCTTATAAAACTCATAATGTGAGATGTAAGATCATGATAAAACTATGTAATTCATAGAAAAAAAATTAAAAATCTCAATTATAATGAACTAAATATTAAAAGCTAAAATTAAAAAAAATAAAAAGATAAATTAAGTAAACTTATATAAGTGATTGGCACAATACTGTAGGCAAGACTAAATTTTTCTTGATACCAGAAAAACAAAATTAAGACAACACTAAGATTTCTAAAAAAGTAAAAGAAATTTAAAACTTGGATCATTAAGCAGACTAAATTTAATAAGTCTATTTTATTTATAACATAAAAGACAACTCTAATTTAATAAAATTAAATACTAATTAAAAATGAATAAATCTTTTAAACCCAGATTAATCTTTTAAAATTATAACTCATAAATTCTCATATATGGGCTCAATTAAGCTACGCAATTTCAAAACAATTTAACATTAAAAGATAAAAAAAATTAATCTAAAAAATTTTTAAAGTAGAAAAAAAGAGGGGGATCAAACCCGATTGAAAAAAATGAAGCATGAGATTACAAAAAAAAAAAAATCAATTTTATAAATCATTCTCAACAAGAAAATAACACTAAGAAAATGGAGACCATACTTAAGAGATAAAGAAAATTGGAGGATTAAATTGAAAATAATTTTCAATTTAAAATATTTTTTTCAAATAAAAAAATTGCAATTAAAAGAACATATGCTAAATCTAAAAGAAAAAGAAATCAAGGTTTGCTTGAATTGTTTGAGGATCAACTTGTAAATTGAGGTAGAGGAGAGAAATGAAAGAAAAAAGAAAATTCAACCGAAGCTAAATCAGATAGAATTACCATGCACTTGCTGTTTAAGAAGAAAAAGATTATTGAGACAAATCAAATGACATAGTGGAACAATAGTTTTGACCATTTAATTGATCTCCGTATGTTGTTCGAAGGCAACAAAGCGATTGATTAGTGTACGCACATGTCATTAACTTTTTCATTTTTGTTTTATTTTTTATTGATCAAATTACCATATTGTCAATGATCAAATAAATACTATGAAAAAACCTTCATGAAATTACAAAAAAAAACCCTGAAGCCATGGTATTAGAATTTCATTTCCTGGACAATTGCATCATTACACTATTATTTAAAAAGTAAAAAATAAAAAATATCCTTAAACTGTAGTTAGGTTTTTTTAAAAGGGTATTCAAATAATTTTATGGTGCAGAGAAATTATAAAAAAAAATCTAGAATGACCATTATTCAAGTAATTGTTTTTTTTTAAAAAATCGACTCCAGGGGTAATTTTGAAAAGAAAAATAAAAGTTAAGACTATTTTGTAAATGGTGCTGAAATGTTCGGGTTCAATTACAATTTACTCAGGAATTTAATTACAAAATTTGATAACTTCAGCTACCAAACTGAAAATAGCCATTCCCATCTCAAAACGGCGCCCTTTCAAGGGAAACTGCTCATCACCTTCTTTATTACACTAGGGAAGCCGATTCAGCAGGAAGAAGGAGAAACGATTCGTCTCTGCCAGCTGCCCCACAATGCATGCCGTTACAAAAGGCATAAACGCATGCCATTCTCTGGCTTTATAAAAACCAGAGAAAGGTCATGACAGGAGGGGTGGGTGTAAGTCTGTTTTGGGCGTCTTGATGATGGAGAATTGTGACGAACACAGATTACTGGGCCGTTGTTGGAAAAACAAGGTTTGGATTTTCGGTGGACCACAAAAAAGACGGGGGGAAAAGAACAAAAACCAGAGAGAGCAAACACTGGGACGAGGAGAGAATACCAGAGGACAAAAAACGGAACAGAGGCATAGACCCAAAAACAACACAAAAACCCAGAACAGAGAGACAAAAACGAAAGAAAAAAAGAGAGGAGTGAACAGAGCAGACACAGAACGGAAGACGAACAAAAAAAAAAAAAAAACAGAGGACGAACAGAAAACAAAAAAGAAGAGAGACCTTCTGGGATTCCTTTCAGAACTTCAACAAAGAAACGTCTGTTGTCTTTTAAGAAAAAGATTTCTTGAACCAAACCAGCAACGAAGGAGAATCCCAGGAGAACAAAAACAAAGAAAAGAAACGCAGAGAGAACACGAGAGAGACAGCAGGAGAAGAAAATTCAGAATGGCAGGGTAAGAGAGAATAAAAGAGCAGAGGGGAAGGGAAGCTAGAACCAGAACAACGAACGGAGCCTTTCTTCAGAATCTCAGTACCAGGCAAACCCCAGCGACCAACGTTCCTCAGTTGAGTTCTTCTCTTTCCCACTTACATTTTAATTCAGTTGTTGCTGTGCATGCAAATTTTAATTCATTCGTTACTGTGCATGCACGCTTGAGTTGATTCATGCGTGCTTGCTGCTGAAGACCGGGTCACTGGCTGGATCCAACCCAGTGAAGAAGCTGAGGCCGGGCTGGTTGTCTACTTGGTAAAATTCTGAAAAAAATTCAAAATCCTTTAAAAAAAATGTGGTTTTCTTGTGTATTTTTTTTATTAATAGTAATTTTATTTTTATACTATAAAATTATAAATCTAATATTAAAATACTCAATTTTTTATGAAATAGTGCAATATATATATGAAAAAAATATTTTATTTTCAAATATACAGTTAAGTTTCTAAAAAATATAAAAAAATTTCATAACATATTTTCATACAAAAAAATAAAAAAAAAATTATTTAGGATGTATTTTTAGCTTTAATAACCAATTTATTAAAGTCACGAGAACTAGATCTATATTTCAAAAATACCAAAAAAATATTATTATTTTTTTAGTATCTAGAATTATAAACTTATACGTAAGATATATTCCTGATATTAAAAGAGTAATTCTTTTTTTATTAACTTTAGAACAGTTGGATTTTTTTTACCTGATAAGATAGAGATCACCTTACGAGAAGGATTTTTTTTTAAATCTTAAACCACTGACAAGACAACCATCAAAGCATCTGAACCACATTAAATCACAACACAACTTATCTTGGATATGGTGCATTAGAGAAGCTAATATTTTTCCTAGCCACAATCAGTCTTTTACCTATGAATCTCTAATAAAACCAATACAATTAGGTTTTTTTAGTGATTCTGAACCAAACAACTAGATGGAGACTCTCAAATCAACAAAACCACCACAATGTCGCGTGAGCAAGTGTGATATTTAGAATAAAAAAAATTGCAAAGCTGGCATGCAAGGGATTTTTCATGTTTTCAAATAGGTTTTTGGTTTATAATCAAGTAAAAAAAAGGAGTCACTTGCTATTCTAGTGTCGCATAAGGTATCTTACACTGATCTAGGAGTGGCCTTGAGACAGCATTCAAATCGTTTTGACAGCTACTTTATTTTTAGACAGCACATACAGCTTATGGACCCTTGGTTTGGTGTCGGTGGCCATTTCATTTTTTTTCCCATCCCCTCAATTTTGGCACATTCCCTTCTTATTTTTTAAATCATTCATTCAATTTTTCTTTTCTTTTGAATTTAATCTTTTTTTTTGTTATTATTTTTGTATTTGAAATAATTTATAAAAAAGAATTGCTTTTCAATGTAAATCTCTAATTTTTTTTCTTGTATCATATTTTGGTCTCCATTTTTTTTTATTGTTATCTTTTGTTTTTTTTTTCTTGTATCATATTTTGGTCTCCATTCTTTTTAGTGTTATCATTTGTTTTTTTATTTATTTATTATTTTCTTGATTTATTTTATTTTTCAATTTCAATCCTCATTATTTAATTTAATTTAATTTTTATACCATATTTGGTCATCATTCCTTTGAGTATTATTTTTTTTAGATGATTGAGAATTCTGTATTTTTTAATTTTTAGGTTTGCCTTTTAAAGAGTAACCCGGTCTCATGACCCGAGTCATATGTTTTGATGGTTAGCTTGATTTTACTTCGATCTTTTTTGAAAAATAATAATTATATTTTTAATTTCATCTCTCGATATTATGTTATTGGACCTTTAGTTTCATGGTTGTTTTCACTTTTTTTTTTATAGAATTATTCTGATCTCATATATTGAATAGCGGGTTAGTTAAGTTGACTCGAGTCTTTTTTTTAATATTTTTTTATTGATTATTTTCAACTTTTTCCTTTTATTTTTTAGTTTTCTTAAGAGTTGATGTCCATTATTTTATTTGATTTTTTTTGTGCGAGGTTATCTCG